ACTGCAGATATGATGATTAAATTCTTGTATATGGAAGAGAAGTTTAAGAAAAGCTAAAGAGAGCTAAGACCTTTATGGTTGGTGCTGGTGCTCTAGGTTGTGAGTATATTAAGGCCTTCGCTTTAATGGGTGTTGGCTGCTCAGAAGAGGGAAAAGTTGCTTGTACTGATAATGACAATATTGAAGTCTCAAACTTGAACAGACAATTTTTGTTCAGAAAAAATAATGTTGGAGACTCAAAGTCTAGAGTAGCTTGTGAAATCGCTCATAACATTAACAGCAACTTAAATGTGAAAGATTACTAGACTAGAGTTGGTGTTGATACTGAAACCGTTTTCAATGATGCTTTCTGGGAGAGTCTCGATTTCGTTGTTAATGCTGTTGACAACATCCACGCTAGACTCTACGTAGATTAAAGATGTGTTTGGTATGCCAAGCCACTACTTGAATCAGGCACACTCGGCACTAAGGCGAATTCCCAAATGGTTATCCCACACAAGACATAATGCTACGGCGACTCTTAAGATCCTCCTGAAGAAGCTATTCCAATGTGCACATTGAGAAACTTCCCTAATCAGATTGAACATTGTATCGAGTGGGGAAGAGATCTCTTCAACAAAATTTTCCATGAACCCCCCAATGATGCTGCTAGTTACATTGATAAGCCAGAAGCATTCTTACACCAATTGAAGAAAAATAATAACTCTACTGGAGTTAAACAAGCATTTGAAGAAATCAAAAAGATTATTGACTTGAAAAAATCAGCAAACTTCTAGCAATGCATTGAGTTAGCAAGAAATCATTTTGAGTCACTGTTCCATCATGAAATTGCTAACCTTCTCCATATGTTCCCAGAGGACTACAAGGATAAGGAGGGTCAACCATTCTGGTCAGGTCCAAAGAGAGCTCCATCTCCAATTCCATTCAATCCAGACGATGAACTCCATGTTCACTTTGTAACAGCATGTGCCAACTTGATTGCCCATACTCTTGGAATCCCCTAAAACAGAGACTCAAGCCTCATTGCTCGCGAAGCTAATCTTGCAAAAGTTCCAGAATTCTAGCCAAGATCTATTAAAGTTGAACTTCCAGGAGAAGAGAGTAAAAGCAACTCAGAGCCAGAAGGCAATACTGAGGACGAAGAAGTTCTAGCAGGACTCTTATCTCAACTAAATGTTGAAGATATTGGAGTGAGTTCAAAAGATTTCTTTGCAGCAGAATTCGAAAAGGATGATGACTCTAACTACCATATTGATTTCATCCATGCTGCTGCTAACCTCAGAGCCAGGAACTATAAGATCCACGAGTGTACTCAGCAAAAGACCAAAATGATTGCAGGAAAGATTATTCCAGCTATTGCCACCACAACTGCTATGATCACTGGTTGTGTTTCAGCTGAAATCTACAAATTCGTTCAAGGCTTCCCAGAGCTTGAAGTCTACAAGAATGGTTTCATTAACTTAGCTCTTCCCTTATTCTTATTCTCTGAGCCAATTGAAGCTAATAAGGCGAAGTCTAAGGATTATGATGTAATTGAAATGAGTGCTGTCAAAGCTATTCCTGAGGGTTTCACTATTTATGACAAGGTAATTGTAAATGGGCCATTGACATTCGAATAATTCTTCGAAGAAATGAAGAGCAGATTCAATATCGAGGTCACTCTTGTATACTCTGGAGACTAACCTCTCTATGATACTTATTCTGTTGGAAACAAGCATGCTGTTAGAAAATCCAGAAATATTGAGGATGTTTACAGAGAGTTATCATCTGAGCCAATTATTGAAGGTAGAAATTATTTAGCTATTGGACTTGGAGGTAACTGTATTGGAGAAGACGCTTGCTTCAACATGCCAATCATTAAGTATTTTTTCTGATGATAAAATCATTATCAGTTTGACAAAACTTATTTTAACTTTCATTAAATCTTTTAATACTCATTTATTTCTCTAAAATTCCTAGATTTCTACTAGCTGGGGTTTTGGGGTTTTGGGGTTTTGGGG